TCCTCCGCCAGCTCTCTCAGTACTCTTGGGTGGATCCCATCCGGCCCCATAGACTTGTGGGTATCCAGGTCATATTGCATGTCCTTGACTGCTTCCTCCTGGATTATGAGGAGTACACTGTGCTCTCCATCCCCATCTTCCAGCTCAGGGGAAGGGTTTTGCAAGGGTTTTATGTAGGAGTGAATAGGAGGCCACTTGGCTTAGTTTCAGTGTATGCCACATCTCTCCCCCTTCTTTTGTTCTCTGATTTCTGCGTTATATGAAGTTTCCTCTGCTTGCCTCTGTGCCTGCAGAAACCACAAGGTTGTTATGTAGACGGGGACTCCTCTGACACTGGCGCTGTTTCTTTGTCATTATCGAAGTAACTTTCCCTAGTGAAGGAAGCTACCTGTGACTTTTTTCAGCAAGACCCCTCTGAGCAGTAGGCAGTGGGACCTGCTGGGGATGTCTTAGGGTTTTCTTTTTAGCTTTCTGACTGTCTGGGTCTTGCTCAGTCTCAAACTGAAGACCCAGGAAAGGCAGCATCATGTTTTCTTATTGATAGACGACCTGACTTGCAGAAATCATCTGTTGTGGAGAAGAAATAAGTCACCAGCTGACTCAGTTCTTGTTGTCAAAGAGGGCTGAGGCATGTCTATGGTGTGGAGTTCTGTCCGATGTCTTGCAGATGTACCAGGGACTGGGGATTTAAATATAAGCAACTTACTGAAATAATCAGTATCATCTCCTGTGACTACATCCTGAGATTATGTGTGTGTCCACTTTGGCTTTGCTTATTCAGTGGCAGCTGGTCTTTGCTAACATGAATGGGTTTTCTATGGTTGCTGTGTCGCGTGGAATTTAAACACGTAAGCCTGAAATTTGTGAGAAATACTTCGCCATAAGCTTGGCTCTTTTTCAGTCAACAGGTTCATTAAACATTTTTGGGTTTGCAAAACCTATTCAAAACAGCCTTTTAGGACTGTGGTGTTAACACAGAAAAACGGATGCAGAGCTGCAGAACCGCTTACCACATAGTACTCGGTGCACCTTGGTTTTTGCTAGCAAATAGGCAGAGAAGAGACATCCTGGGGGTCGGGTGAAAGGTGGTGGAAAGTTATCCAGGAACAAAGCACTGTTCTTGTTCTTTCTACATGAAATGGTCCTCAGATTCCCTATTGCAGTTTCCAGCAGGGAAGAATGATCTTTTATTTCCTCCCCCTGTGCCTTAAAAAAACCTACCACAAATCAGCGGTAAACTGCATTTGCTTTGCAGATATCATAATACATGGAAGTCAGGAATAGTTTCCTGTATTTTGATCTAGCTTTATTTTGTCATTGAGAGTGACTAAGGTTTATTTCACTTAAGGCAAGGTGGACTTTCTTCTACCTTGTACTCACTGAAATAAACTATCAGTTGACTCTGGACTTACTGACTGCCTTGAGCATGTACCTCAGGAGCACTGTCTATCTAACTAGAAATGAGTAAGAGGAAAAATAAACTGTAACTTTTCTTTCCCTCTGCAGAATTGACCCCTGAGGAAAAAGCCATGAGGATTGCCAAAGCTATGCGTAAGCAGTCATCAGAGGTAAAAGAGAAATGGGAGAACCTAAATGCCAGTGCCAGTATCTGGCAGAAACAGGTGGACAAAGCATTAGAAAAACTGAAAGACTTGCAGTGTGCCATGGATGACCTCGATGCTGACTTGAAGGAGGCTGAAAATGTGAGGAATGGCTGGAAACCCGTGGGAGACTTGCTCATAGATTCATTACCAGATCACATTGAGAAAAGTACAGTAAGTGTGGAACTCCTGGCAAATATTTAGCCTGTGTGAGAGTCAGACCCCTCCATTCTTCTACCCCTAGTCACATTACATATGTATACAGTTTATACTTGTATTCTCATGTAGAGTTTGAAGTGCTTTTTAAAGCCTAGATCTGAGGTCTCAAAGAAAGTCCAGTGCTGTGCCACATTTGCTGTGTCAGCTGTGATTGCATAAGCACATGTGATCAGCAAGCTACAGGTGTGTACAGAATGTGACTGTCAGTAAAAGAAGAATAATTGAGTTCTAGGATTTAAATATTTTCCTCCTAGAAATACTGTCTAATCCATAGTTAGGCCACAGGTGTGTTTGGAGCTTTGTCTAGGCACTGGAGTTTGAGTGAGTGGAATCGATTACCGTCCCAGCAGATGACAGTAGGCTCCCCTTCTTTTCATAGTGGTGAGCTGTCAGATCTGTTTGGCCATCATGTATAACTTTCTCCTTAGGAAAACATTTAGAGGTCTTTATGTATATACTTCTGTATGACAGATTTAATTTCTGTTCCTTAGCTTTCACAAACTTCACATATCTATTGTCTATTTTAGCTTGTATGAGTGAAAACTTGTATTTGGTTTTACTTTAGCCTGGCTTCTTTTCAGGTTTATTTCAAGGTGAAGAACACATACTGCAGTATAATGTTCTCATGGGCATACCAGTTCTTGCAGCCAGGGTTCCAGGCCACCCATCATATAGGGCTCAGCACCCCAAGGCATGGCTGCTCATTATGGCTAGTAGTCATCCCCTGCTTTAGCTGCATAGCTTGGGTCGGGACCCAATGCAGAGCTCCCCAGAGAAGGAATACCTTCTGATAACCGATATCGTCCAGAAAAGCTCACTGGAAACAGCACAGTGCTTGAGTCAGGGCCTGAATATCAGGGATTCCAGGAGAAGTGGGTAAGCACATGTAGTAGAGGAAATTGCTGTTTCAGGAAAATTTAGCAGTTATCACCAAGCTTCTGTTTCACAAACACAACTTCGCAGCTTTAAGCCAAAGAATAAATATGCAAAACATTAGAGGACCCTTGGGTCATGTACCTGACCATCCATGTGTTCAGCATCGGACGCTGGTGTTAGAAGAATGAAGAGCCATGGGCTGCAACCAGTTTTCTGCAAATACTCTGTGTATACATGGCCTGTGAACTCACATGATATTAACACAGGACTGCATTATTACACATATATCGATGTAAACACCCTCATTCTCCAAATGTTGTTGTTACGATCAGGTTTAATGGAATGAAGATCTTTAAAAGAAAGGCAAAGCTGATTTATTTATCCAGACTGCTGTTGATTTGAGAAGAGTAATGTATCTCCTCCTCCTCCTCTTACTTTTTATTATATATACTAAAGCAAGCACCAAGACGTTGATGCTGAATAGCCCTTTGTATCATGTTAAGAAGCGATTTGTCATATCTTAATGGCTTTTTTCTGTAAGGAGAAAAGCAAAGTCTTTTAGATTTTCATTGCTGTGGAAAAACTGAAACATCAGCTGAAGTAATAGGGGCCTGTTGCCTGTCCAGAAGCCAAACGCTTCTTTCTTGCCAATAGATGCCTTCTGTTCCTGGGCCTGGTGAGAGACATTTTGAAGGGAGGGAAATAATTGAATTGTCCAAAGAAAATATTTTTTCTGGTTGTTTTTGGCTTGTTTCATGATGTTAAATCAAGATGTTTATAGCGTTGAACAATCCTGCTCACAGCAAGAAAGACATTTGATGTATCTGTAACCAAAACTTGCATCAGTTTTGTCTTAATACTGTATTTAGTTCCATTTGATTTCCATTTTTAATCATTGCAATAATTTTACTTTACGGTTCTACAGTAAAACATTGTACTCCTTTTCCTTAGAAGATATTTTCCTTCGTGCTTTTCTAATTCAATAATAGTTTTTAAATTGAATTTTTGTCAGCTGCTTAATACTGGAAAACCGTAGTTACTGAACACATATATTTTCTTAAGAGCACTTGACAGGCTATATACTCTTAAAGTTCCTGATAGAACATTGTGTATTTCTTTTTGGAAAGAAAAGCTCTAAAGTGACAAGGCAGCACTAAAAGTCTTAATTAAATTGTTTTAGGGGTGCAATTTGGATATGGGCATTTGGGTAAATTCCATACTGTTTTTCTCTAAAGATGGGTATGAAGGAGTTAATAAGAATATTTAAGTGAGTGAACTTTCTTTGCTGGCAAACTCAGAGTTGCATGCAGTTGCTTAGGATAAGCTGTCACATTGGGCACATCAGCACCATCTTGAGTTTACGGTGGTTTTTGTGCTGCTCAGATGTCTGTTAAGCATAAATATATGCTTGTTGCTGTTCTAGGCTTTTAGAGAAGAAATTGCTCCCATCAACTTGAAAGTTAAAACAGTGAATGATTTGTCCAGTCAGCTGTCTCCACTTGACCTTTATCCATCATTAAAAATGTCTCGTCAACTGGATGATCTTAATATGCGGTGGAAACTTTTACAGGTATTCTTCTGAATGTATACAGCAAGTGGGGCAGGGGAGGGATGCTTCTCACTCTCTTCTGTTCTCTTAAAAGATCCATTATTACCATTTGTTCATTATTTCTGTCTTTAAGGTGTTACTTCAGTGGTACTGAAGCAACAAAGGGAGCTGTCTTTCCTTCTATGGTTTGACCAAAAGCTTTTCGTATCAAGGTTTTTTTAAGCAGTTTTCTCACTCGGGAGACTGCATTAATCTCTGGAGACTAGTGGGAACTATTTCTGCATGCCTTTTTTTATATTTCTTATAGCAGTATTTTTACTGCATAAATCATTGTTACTGAAAACTGGTGTACATATTTCTGTTGTTTTTCCAGCACCTGTGAAAGCTGTTTTATTTTGATTTTGAATGTTCAGTTACTGCAGGGAATTTCACTTAAAGTGACTTCAGTATTAGTAGAGCTATAACAAGATGTGAGCAATAGCATATTTAACATTATACGACAGAAGAGGGTATGCTGTGAGAGATTCATATTGCTTAGTTATGATTGTTGTACTTAAATGGTCTGAGAAAGGTAAATCAATGTGCCTGATTACAGTTCAAACTCATGCACAGTTTCACAGTGAATGGTTTAATGAAGTTTCTTACATCAGTTCAAGTTCATTTGTCAAATTTTGCACTTTCTCAGTCCTTTTTTTTTTTTTTTTTGGTAGGAAATACTTACTGTGAGTCATCTGCTATTTATTTCTTTACCTGGTTTCTAAGGGTGATACTGAGTGTCTGAAAGAACTGAGGGAAGGATGGAGAATCTGTCGCCTCTCTTGCTGGGAGTTGTGGGACTGAATTTTCAAAACCTGGGCATCAGCTTCTGGGCTAGTAGTTTTGAATTAGTTGCTCCTGAGAGGCAAAACTATTAATATGTCTTATCAGTCCTTCCGTTCCATAATGTAATTTGGTAATGGGTTTGTTTTGGATTTTTTTGGTGTCAAGTTTAGTTAACTAAGCAGCGAAACTGCTTCTGGGTGTGTTAGTGCAGTTTCAGTTAATAAACCAGGGAGGAGTCATGTCAGCCAGTGAAGTGGTATCTTCCAAAATGGTTTTGTGCTGCAAAGGCAACCGTGAGATCAATACAATCAAACTGAGACCTGCTGACTATGGAAATTTGGGCAACGGAAGGGTTGGGAGGAGGTCAGAGACTTCAGCAGTCAGCTATAGTCACCATGAAACTACCGTTGTTCATTACTGAGCTGCAGTACTTGCACGAGAGCGCTGCAAGATATGAACATGACTTTCATCAAGCAAATGAAAGAAAAAAGTAGCCTTGAATAGCTGGATGTCAAATAAGTGCTATGACACACAGACAAATTTATTTAACTAAAAATGAATGTAAACAAGTGTTTTTATTATCATGGCTCTGGTGTTACAAAGTAAATGCAACGTAAATTTTGTGTATGTGTGTTTATGTGTAGGTATCTGTAGAAGATCGCCTTAAACAGCTACAGGAGGCACACCGAGATTTTGGGCCTGCATCACAGCACTTTCTTTCCAGTAAGGTCTTTGAATTAATAGATGCATGTGAGATCTGACGGCTTTCTCAAACATTGACTGTTCTTTACTCCAGTTTTCCCTATGACTTGAGGAACAGGAAGTTCCTCTTCTATGTTGTTATCTACCTCCCTGTTTTTCTAGGGGTGTTTCATCTTCATAACTCCACTGACATTCTCACTGGTGTGTTTCCCTCGGGGAACACTGTAACATCTTGATGAGTTACGGTTGTGCCCCTGGCTGCTTTATTCTTTATCCTCTGTTTGCTACAAGGCCTGACCTGTGGCTGTTGCAGAATCTCTATGTCTTCATAACCACATCTTCTCATCCCCTGCTACCTCTTTCCTCAGTTTCCTTTTGCTTCCACACTTGCTGGGAAGAGCTGCCTGGATTTTTCTTTATTAAAGGCTTCACGTCATACATGCCTGGAACTTCAAATAAAGGGGTGGGGAAAGCAAACCTGTATCACTTCCTCTTGAGACCCATCCTTACATCTTTTTCCATTTAGTGAAAATTATAGACATGTAAGCCTACAATCTCCCATATACTAAGAGTGCAAAAGCAGATGTTCTGCTTCCTTGTTCTCATTTGACTTGTTACGGATAGATAGGTTGTGATATCAAGATCTATGTTGATTTTCTACATTCTAGCCTATCTACCATCATCAGAGCTCGTGATACAAAGTTTTAACCAAATCAGGTCTCCAGTTTTTAACTGAGGTTTTCAACAATAAAGATAAAATTATTGCGGGAGCTGAGAAGTGAACATAGAAATGAGCAGCTCTGTCCCAGAGATTCTCAAGTGCTGTATGTCACTGAATAGCTAAACAGCTAATATAATTTAAAACAATAAATAAATCTTTATTTCTTCTTGAGTTACATGACAACTGTGTTCTTATTTTAAATTGACAATTAGTTTTTCAGTAAACATAATGATAAACAAGATGCAGTGTATTTAAAATATTACAGCTGTTATGCAAAATAACGATTCCTGGAGCCACTTTGTCCTTTTTTAAATTGACACAACAAACAAACAACTTTAAAAGTATGTGTGTTTGTTTTTGTTGTTTTGTTTTGTTTTTTTAAACCCCATTAGAAGTATTTTATAGTGTTGCCACAGTGGCTTTGTAGCCCTTCCAATCTCAGACTGGTAACCGTGACCTGGACAGGACACCTATGTAATAATTTGCTAAAAAGAATATAGTTAGAGTGGTATCTTTGGCACTGTTGAAAAACAGCAGACTAACTGTCTGAGAGAGTAGTCAGCGTAGTCTGTGTAATTAAAACAGACTATGAAGCAATGTTAGAGAAGATGCAGTTTCCCTTACTCTAGCTGGTTTGAGAAGTTCCTGACACTCCTGTGTCACTGTTAAGGCTGTTCATGTCTCCTCACCTGGACCAATGCAATTGTTCAGATGACTGATCTTGGCGGCGGGGGGAGGAAGATTCAGTGAAAGAGTCCACATGTAAAACCAGGAAGCCTGCCAGGCAAGGTTGGCTGGTTTTGTTTGCCTTTGACCTGGATCATTTCCTTGATTTGGCTTACAGCATGACAAACAAAAAAATTGAATTCACAAGAATGAGTGGTGAACTGGCTTTGTTGCTGCATAAAACATTCATAGAATTATGTCCAAAGAGACTATTCAGTGCCTTATCAGCATGCCTCAGCCTTGCTTTGGGCATCTTCTCCAGTCTTAAGGGGACATTCAGTTTACATTACATACAAAAGTCAAGAAGGGAAAGTTTCCAGAATGCATGTTGGTAGATACCACAAAAAGCTATAGCCAAGTATGAGAGTCCTGCAAAACCAAATAATATGCAGTTATCTGGATAAATTGTTTGTTAAAAACAACCAACCTCCTTCCCCACACAAACTACAACAAATACTTCTTTTAAAAAAGAATCTGTTTTAAGAGCTTGAACTAGACAGAGTTGCAGAACTTAATACCTCCAACTTTATGTAAAGCCTGTTAAGTAAAAGCCAGGGACAGTAACTTCAAAAGGAAAGTAATAAAAAAATCATTAAATCTGGAAAAATGACGGTTTTATCCTGACAGGTTGAAATAGTGCATATTCTAAATCAAATTTTTCAAACCTTTTTAGCAGCCATAAATGACTTCTGACTGCGGGGAACAAGTGGAGTGGTAGTCTGAATAAAATAACCTTAAACTCCTAAAACTGAGATTATGATTATGTATGTCTTGTGCAAATCTTCATCTCCAAAGTTGCACTTCTGAACCAGAGGGGAGGTTTTTATCTGTGCTCATTTGACAGCAGCTATTTTAAGTTTACCTCACCTACCTATTACTCTTCCTCCAAATCTGAACAAGAGACTATAGCTTGCCATCACACCATTTTCAGCTGACTAGCTCCCAGTTGTCATTTAATCAATAATTTGTGCTAGCAAAACACGTATTTCTACCTGTTCATCAGATTCACAGAATCATAGGTTGGAAGGGACGTCAAAGATCATCTGGCCCAACCTTTCATAGGAAAGGGAGCCTAGGTGAGTTTGTCTAGCTCCCTGATTTCAGCCGTGATTTCACCTCCAGAGCTAGTAATGTTTCTCTGCTAAAAAGACACAGTGCAGTGTTTAATCCTGCTGTTGGAGTTCTTGGAACACCAATTATATGAATTCACCCAGACCATCAGGAAGAAGGTGCTTCAGAATATTTTTGAAGGCTAGCAAATATGACATTGGCCCTTCCTAAAATGTCCTGCAGTAGGCTGCTTAGGTAAAACAGTATTAGTAGACTACTACAATCTATGATGCCCCTCTTTGCTGAGCTATTTTTCCCCCTCACATTAGTGTTAGGTCGAATTTGACAGCTCTTTTTTTTTCAGTGCTTTTGGGTGGAAAGTAAGCTCCTTGCAAGTTATCAGTAAATTTTCCTCACTCATTAGTAAATTTTACAGATAAAGATGAAGAGTCCTTATAATTCTTTGCAAAAGGATTGTTTTGTTGTCTCCTGCCTTTAGAAACAGTAACCTGCTTTTTCTGTAATTCATTAATTTTCTAAGGGCCAAGATCCATTCGTCTCTGTTGTGTTTCTTGTACACTTTCTTAGAAGAATCTATGAACATCCACAGAGCACTGAGACCACATGTTCCCTAAAAAATAGCCTAGGTTTTCAAGTGGCCTGCTCAAAGCATCTCTTGAGTGATGTCCAGCCTTACCAATATCTGCAGGCCTGTTCGTGAGTACCAGGATCAATAACTACTCTGTTCAGTTTTCATCGAGAAACTGATTTTTAAAAAAAGAATGGGAGTTTCACTTTGCAGAGTTCCGTGCAGCAGAGAACTGTCAATGGTTTTAGAAAGGTTGTTCCCGAATAAGTAGAATATGAATTGGTCCTTAATAATTACTAGTTTAATTTATTATGTTGTTTAGTCCATATCTGTGTCAGCGCAGAATATCTATAGTCTGTCATAGCACATAAATTGTACCTAAGCAAACTCTAGCCAGATTTTTCTTCTTAGTTAGCTGACATAATTAGTGTTGTAGTATTGGAGCCACCATAGGTGCCAAATTGCAATACTAAAGAATGAAACTCTAAAGCTGGTGGCCACCTTCACCTACCTGGTTGTTTTTTTTTGTTGGGGTTTGGGGTTTTTTTTTACTTATGAATGCTTAAGGATTATTTTTTAGTTAACTACCTCTATTTGAGCATTTAGCCTCTACTGTTTTTTTTCTTTACCGGGTAACTACCTACCTCCTTTAAATCATGATACAGAATTTTCTCTATTTTTTCTAGTGAATAATGTGATTTACTTGGTTCCTGTAGTTTCCTAAATATTCTTTCCAGTTAATCTGTCTTTCAGTACATGAATGTTTCTTTAAATTATGAGCCATGACATTTTGTGTGGTCCAGGAAGAGGTCACAGCCATTAAACTGCTCAGGGAACAGCCATCTGGGAGCAAGGCGAGACCTGCCCCTCTCTGCAGCAGCACCAGCCTGTGTGGGGCTTATATGGCTTTTTGGGCTTCACTGCCGCCTGAGAGGTCTTAGGGGAAGAGGGAAGAGTATATGGCTTGTGAGTCTTCACTGCAGCCTGAGAGGTCTTAGGGGAAGAGGGAAGAGTTACTTTCAAATGGATTTTTTTTTTTTCCCAAAGAGGGATGAGCTCTTAAGTGGGCCATACTTGCAGAAAATGATGTTAATTGAGAGTTTAATTACTTGAGAACCAATGTGGATCAAAGCTGTGTCTCATTTTACCAGGTTTTTAAACAGGGGTGTTAGCACCCAAGAGTAAGCACTCTGTCTTGAAAGTGTTGGCATGCGTGTACAGAACAAATTCATCTCATTGTGGTGATCAGTTATTCCTGGTTGTTCTTTCCATCTGTGCTTCTACAGTGAATCTAGTGAAGTGAGTTTCTTCTGTGATAAAACCCTAATTAACCAGGCACTAGTCTGGTAATTTCTGGTAGGACATATGTGTACCTCTGGGTCTTCAGCAAATAGCTGCTTTTAAGTTGCACCAGCAGTCCTGTGGGCCAGAACATGTTTTCCCCTTTTATCTCCTGGGATCTTTAGATAAGCAGAGTTGTAGTGTCATGTATGACTTTGTGTCTGTTGCAACTTGGTGTGCAGAAGGCTTCTTGGTGTTATGGATGATATCTGTTTATGTATCAGACTTGCATAAATTCTGCAAAGATTACCGCTGTTCAGCAAAGAGTGCAAAGACAGGTTTAAATGCCTTTTTTGTTAGTCATACAGTGTTAATCAATATTAATTTGAGTTGGAAATAGGAGCTAAGGGTTGTAACTAATAAAAATAAGGTTGATATTTCTCTTTTTTGTTCTGTTGCAGAGCATTAATTATAGTAGTGGAAGCATTTATTTTCAAAGCTTAAACTGATAATAATTCTATGGAGGTAGGAAAACCAGTGTTTCCATTTTCCCTGGATGCATAGCTTGCTTGCTCAGAATTTATTATCCCTCTTTGAATTAGAATGACCACATTTGTTTTATTTCCAGCTTGGCATCAAATAGATGCCTAGAATCATCTTGATAGATTGCTGTTGTTTTCTCCAGCTGATTTTCTAATTACTGAAAGTTGTCTGGGAAATTTTAATTGTTCCCATTTAATTTATTATAACTGTTTTAATTGTAAAATAAATAAATAAATAGAGATAGCTGTGGTTTTTTTTTTTATTTGACAGATGCTTTCTAATAATTACCTTCTCTTTATTTCCTCAGCCTCAGTACAGTTTCCATGGCAGAGATCTGTTTCACATAACAAAGTGCCCTATTATATCAAGTAAGTTTGCCTTGATTCTTTTTTCTTTAAGCATAACAGAGGGTCTTCTCACCATAACCTGGCAGAAAAACATAGATGCTAAGTAGTAACTAGAAATGTTATCATGAGTTTCTCTACATAGTGTTATGCTGCATATACTAGATATTTTTATGTTGATTGCTTTGCATCCTGTATAATTTAGAAATATGTAAAAAGAAATCAGTGACAAACCCTAACTAAAACCCCCAGTCAAACATAGGAAACAGCAGTGATGCTCCAGTGTAATACAGTATCAGTATTCAAACTAGGCTTGTTCCTATGTGTGTGGCTCATCCAGAGTATAAACTGTACAGTAAAGGGAAAAAAAGCTGTATATATAATGTATTTAAAAATGCAAAGTTTATAAGCTATAGCAGAACAGTGGTGACTAATATGTATAGAGCCCATTCATCATTTTTTACAAAAATCTTTCAGAAACAGACACATGATGATTTTCCTTCTGTCATTTTCTTTACCTTATGGAAGTTTTTATAGTACTTGATATTAATGCAAATGTAAAATTAATGTAAATATTGACAAAAATTGTACAAATACTTTGGTTACCAAGAGGAATGGTTGAGATACTTATTTTGAAAATAATAAGAAATACTTAGTTGTAGAGGTATAGAAATTTTGATGTGTTCTACTTGGAGCAATCCTTAACTTGGGTTTTGTCATTCCATCAGTGTTTATTTACATACGGTTTGCCAATAATTTAAAGGCAAAGATTGCGGCTTTGAGAGAAGGATAGCTTTTTGCCAGAGAGGTAAATGAAATTTTTAGAAGGCACAGTGTATAGTAAACCAGACCCAGAGTAGTTCATTTTAGGCTGAAGGAAATCTGTGTTAAAATGTTATCAGTTTGAGTTTGGGAAAAGTAGGGGGGGGTTAAGTCTCTAGAATGGCTATGAATTTGACCTACAGATAATTCATTCTGCAAGAACATCAGTGAGGGCTTTGTACTATTGCATATTGCTTTGTCATAAATCTGAGTGCCACATTTCGTGTTTCAAACAATTTATGAGGGCTTGAGGGCTTTGAAATGCAGGTAATAGTAAAACTATGTTAATCAAACCTGTTGTTATCATCTCAAGGTGACGGTTGTTCTCAAACTGTGATATGAAGATTAATTTTTTTAAAGGGTCTGGGTAGGTAGCTAGAAAAAGCAAAAACCTACTGTGAAGATTTACAGATACTCTGTAAAAGTATTTGCAGTTCTGCTGAAAAGTTTTGCAGGAGGCAACAGAAAGCTGTGACACACTGGAGGAGGGGTTCCTCCCTCAGCCCCGAGTGGAAAAGGAGAGGCCAGAGGTTGGATGTGGAGGCACACAGACTGCCCTGACTTGGGCAGCAGTGCAACTAAAATGATCACACCTATGCAGTAATTCAAAGAAAACGCTGAAGTATCAAACTACAGAGCGCAAGAGGAAAACTACCCTCAGTCTTTTTTTTCTTGTGGGTATGTCCTTAGTGGGCATTGAAAGATGGCAATTCACATTACTGCTCTACCTGATCAGAGCTGGTAGCTGAAGTTGGGAGTGTTTACCAGGTGCAAGCTGGCCTGCAGAGAGGTCTCTGGAGCTCCCGGGTACATTCAGAGTTGGAGGATAGAGACAGGGTGGATAGTCCTACCACCACAACAGGTGGAACAAACTAAGATTAAAGCTTCTGATCTGTGCTGAGCAAAGCAAAAATTATTAACTTGAGTATTTCATATGCATATCCTTTTTTCATAATTCATAATACTTTTTTTTTTTTTTTTTTTTCATTTCTGGGCATCTCCCTTGCCCTACCTCGGACACCATTCAGTTTTTGAGAAATCTTTTTTGATCATGACTAATTCAGAAGAAGGAGCCTTTCCACTGTGTGCACTAGGTGCAATCCTGCAAGCACACAAATTGGTAGCAAAGTATCCACTGATACTGTGGGCTTGCTCTCATAGTAGTGTGTTGGCTGTCCTGGAGCTAGACTAGGGAATGAAGCCGGTATGGGCTGAGAAACAAACCCCAGCACGTCTCAGAAATTATTTGAGTGGTCTTGCACAGAAAGTTTGATAAAGGGGCAGAAGTATAGGGCAAGTTCTCTGAGGTTCGAGGTCTTTATAGAAGCAGACACCACTGGTTTATTTTGAGGATGGCTTTAATGAAGTCAACAGAATTAACTACTGCATCTCAAAGACTTTTCCAGTACTCTTGCCCTACTTTCCACATGATACGTGCTGCTGAAACAATGTCTTGATTCTTGTGTCTGGAAAGAGAAGAATAATGTTACATGTAATCAGTACAATTTATGACTTTTAAAAAGCTTGAGGAGGAATATTGAATTTTGGTAGCTCCACAGTCTGACAAGCAGACTGACCTTGGCAGTTTCCTTCATTTCTTATTGCTTACTGATCTAAACTTCAGTGATGGCAGCAGCAGCTATATAAAACACAGAGCTGTGGAAAATAAAAGCAGAAAAGAACTGATTCTGTACTTCATTTACTTTGGTATAATCAGGCTGGAGAGTACTCTTAGCTTTAAATATTCTTTTAAATCTTCATCTATTCCCTAATTCTAGATATAGTTTAAAGAGAGGAAATGCTGACACAAAAACTTATTTGATTGGAATGATTAAATGAGCTTTTGTAATGCAATTCAAGAGAACAGTCAACAAGTTTTAATGGTTGTTCATATAGAAAGAAATTCTGGGAAAGAGGCAAAGATTAAGTTAGTTTTCTTATTTTTTTGTTTAAATGTACTAATGTCTTTGAATGAGGTGCCTTTAGTGTAAAACACAGCATGAGTAGAAGGAATAGTTATGATGAGTCTCAGTAACTATCACTCAAAAGCAATTATATTTACTGTTTTTACAGCAAGGCTTATATGTTCAGAGAGAAAGTTTAAGGTACCAGTTGTTCATTTTATGGGGTGAGGAACAAAACCAGCAGAAGACGGAGAATAAAAGTATGATTCAATGATTGGTGGCTGAAAAATGATGATTTTTTTTAAATTAAGTTTGAAAGGGAAATAAATGCTAAGTGAAATCAGACTACTTTAATTCTGAATAAGAACATACGCTCTTCTTAGACAACCATAAATTCATACCTTTACCTCATTTTGGTTGCTTTTTGGGAGTGTCCTTGAATGAGAAATGTAAAATATTCAGAAGTGACATAGCTGTAGATGATGATGTAGTTGTACCTCTGTTAAGATGAGTATTTAAAAAAAATACTGCACTCTTCACAGTTTTATTGCACATGGAGAATGGAGTTTAAAAAAATCAGGGAACTGCAGCTGAGAAGGCAGGAGGGAGCACTTTAGGTAGCAATGAATGTGTAAGGAAAATGTCAAAATTACACGAGATGTCTGTATTTTCAAATGAGCAGCATTTGTTCTCTTTGTTTCCTGATGCCAGAGGTAACTTGCACTTATGTGCATAGAGAGAAGTGTCTCAGAGAAAGAGGTCCTTAGTGTGCCAGCCCATCTTGGTGGCTTTGGAGTACAGTTTGTTCTCCCCACCCTATTTACTAATGCCCTTTCTGGGGTCATAATGGAAGCACGTGAAAGATTAAAAACCCAATGTACAAAATCCCCTGCCCCCTAAGTTCAAACAGAGGCAGTCTGGGTTTGGGGCATTTTGGAATGGAGTGACTATTCTGCTTGGCTGGAAGAAGGATTTATAATTCATTGAGCCCAGTTTTATCAAGGTGTGTGCGCCCTGGGCTATGGCAGATATTTGGTTGAACTGGACTACACACATGATTTAGCCTGTCTCTTCTCTCCTCTTGAATTCTTACTATGTAAACCAAATTTGCCAAATGGTTTTGCCTCTGTTGATGTGATTTTTGTTCAGTCCTTTTTGCCTCCTGTTTGATTTTTTTCTTAATGACAATTGATAGAAGTTTTTGTATTTCTGTAGTCTGTCTTCTCTGTCACAGTAGAACTCGATCAATGAAAACTTGAGTCAGTAAAATGTTGATGCTGTTAAAAAAAAAAAAAGCTTTGTATTTCATACTTTATAAAAGAGAATGGAACTAATGAGCAGTATGGAGGGGGATACAGTACAGCAGGCAAGTTATTTACTAATGCACTTTTGATAATAAAAATGTGAAGTTTGGGCAAAAGATTTGGCAAACTTGCCATTAAATACATAATTCATAGGTTGGTTTGCAAAAGTTTGAGATTTAATAAAGAGAGGTTTCTGCTGTTGTTCATTTAGAACTATTTGAATCACACAAATAAGACATGCTTGGCCTCTATAACAGAAAATAAAAAAATAAAGCCTATATTACATAGCACTTCAATAAAAATATTCTAAAGTAAAACAGAACAATAAAGGAGACGCTATATATGATCATTAAACATCTTTGAGAAATACACGATGAAGTGAAAGGAATGTGCAGAAAACATAATTACCCTGGCATTTCTCACTGTTGTTCTTCTAACTGTAATTTAAGTGCTCTTCAGCTGTGTACCTTTCAGTCCAATAAATTATTAGATATTTGTACTGTGCAGAAGAAACAAAAGGGTAATACAGAAAGGGTCACCCTGAGTTTAATCTCATGCAGGGCATTACATAGGGAGACCAATTTCTTGGTATAATAATTAAACTAATCAATATCAAACTCCCTTGTCACCTGGTTATTTTTCTGTAATCCTGCAAAGAGGCTGGCATGATCACCATCTTAAAAATCCCATTTTATCACCTCCTATACCATGCTCAACTTTGTGGGGCATGGGAATAAAATGCTTTCTGCTTCTCCATTTTTTTCAAGACTCTTCGGGAAGTCTTTCCTGATTTTTGGTTTATGCCTATATGTGGAAGAGAGAGAGAACTAATGGAACTGGGAAATTTAACTTTTTTTTTATTCTAGCTAAGTCCATAACCCCATTCTTAGAAGTATTAAGAAGTATTTCCCTTAGAAGGGAATATAAAATATAATTTGCAGAAAGACATAATACAGGGTTCAGTTTTTGAGACTTTCTTCAGTTACCAGATCCCGTGCTGGTCTTTGTTTTCTATTGAGGAAATGCAGTAGTACATTTTCTCTGGAGGGATTTAAAAATATCTGCATATAAATTGCTCCACCAATATACATTATCCTTGCAATGCATTGTGCCGACTCTTTTTCAGCACAAAAGAGTATTTTCTAATGGTCTTAAAAAAAATATACAGTATCTAGGTAAAGCACCATGACTTATTTATAAAGTGAGGATGATGCTATACCATTTGAAATTTGGCAAGAGAGCGAAGTCAGAGTTGAGTGCTGTTGATTCATTAGTGATCAGTAAAGATCTTGATTCAGTTAATGTTTTGTGCAAATGACTACAGGATCAGAAAGCTACTTAACATAATGCCAGAGTACCATTTCAGTGTTGCTCTTGTGATGTTTGCCACTGATTATCAACACAGGCATAGGCCTTGTCTGTGCTAAGAAGTGATAAAAACCCCACAAACCTGTCTCTAGTTTTCTTTCTTGTAGACACAAAGCTAAAAAAGAACAATTGACTATTTTTCACAATTCCATGGGCAGCTTGAAACACCTGGAGATGTACAACTTATTCCATTCATTTCAAGAGGACTGTTCCCTTATTTCTAGAGATCATAAGTTAAATGATATGCCAACTCTTTCTCGGCTCTTTATTTACAACCAAGAAGTGTTTTTAACAAGGATTATCTTTGCCATTTATAATTAGAAAGCTGCCAACAAACATGATGGAGAAGAAACAGATTGTAAGGGTAAATGTTTGTCATTTAAGCTTTAGAGCACTTCATTAATATGTAGTTTTTTAAATTTGGAATATTTTATGATTATAATGTTTATTTACACAAATGCATTTAGACTTTTTAAATGACAGTTTTGTCATATAGTCTCTTCATGGATGCATGTTTTGCTGCGTGGCTTATATTGTGTCAGTAAGTTTTGGCAGAAGAGACCTGGGAGACTTATTCTGAATAACTCAGTCTTTTGGTACAAACTAAAAAAATAACACTGAGTGAGTTCTTTTGTGGCTCAGTCAGTGAAACATCTTTCACATATACATGTAAAATAAATACAAAGAAATTGTATAATCTGTTGTTTATGAATTTCCTTGTTCTTGTAGGTCTGATGTCTTGTGTGTTATTTGTGTTTATTGAATGAAGTATCAGACAAGCATCCAAGTCTGCTTTTACTCGCTGGGCAGTTACTGCCAGGCAATTGTAACTGCTGTGGTGCATATTTTAGAGTAGGTTGCTGTGTCATGAACTTGCATTAAAAGGAGCTCTACAAGATCCTGGTTAGAAACATCTCCCCTAATTTCATCGAGACTGTCTCATCTGTTAAAGACCATCCAATGTTGTAAAGTTTCTGAACACATTTCTCAGTGCCTGATTTGCGTGCGTTAGTCTTGCATCAATAACACAAAAGCTACTGTAGCTACAGCAGAGAAAGATGGATCTTATTTCAAAAAGCTGCTTTACAAACCAAATCACCCGAAAGCACTTTGTCTTGCATTGTCTCCTGTTTGGAGTGCCTAATAAAATGACTCCTTTCTCTGACAGTTTTATTTGTAGTGTAGGAAGGTTATCTGCTCATCCATTTTTTTCTTCCTGTGAAAATCAATTTCGTTCACATAAAATTCCCTGCATATTATGAAATTGTTATCAAACAAAACTTTACATTAAGAAGTCATTCTAATGGTTTTAAACTGAAAGAGGGTAGATTTAGACTAGGTACAAGGAAGAAAATTTTCATACTGCGAGTAGTGAGTATGGTTGCCCAGAGAGGTGGCAGATGCCCCATCCCTGGAAACATTCCAGGTCAGGCTGGACGGGGCTCTGAGCAACCTGGTCTAGTTGAAGCTGTCCCTGCTCATTGCAGGGGGGGTGGACTAGGTGACCTTTAAATGTCCCTTCCAGCCCAAACTATTCTATGATTCTGTAATTTTAACATGATAATTTCTTCAAAGGCAGTAAACAGGATTTGACTCAGCTAAGTTGCATGTTATTTACATGCAGTGTTTGCACTGCAGTAGTATTTTAGCATTTAAAATAGACTGAAATGTATTTTTATATATAGATATATTTAAAGTTTCTATCACGGTACTGCCACCTACCTTTACTTTTGACGTAGAAGTTTGAAGGTGTTTTAATTAAGAGCCTTTTCTCAGAAAATCCTAAGAATCCTTTTTTACTTACAATGTTGACAGTAAAATACCCAGTCATGGTCCTTTTTTGTTTTATTTTGTTCATTTGTGGTTTGTTTTTTTTTTTTTGGTTTTTTTGTTTTTTGTTTTTTTTCTTGGTCAGAGAGTTGAAGTGAAGTAGTTCCTTAAAACAAGTCTTATTAAACTGATCGCATACTAGATCCATTTCTGTGGGCAGTTGCAATGGGTTTTTTCAACAGAAATCAATTCTAAATGTTCGACATGATAATGATGGCATTCCACTTAACATGATAGTGCAGACATTGGGCAGGTTCAGGACCAGGTTTGAGGTTATTTAATAAGTGGATCAGTGTAAGTCATTATATTATGTTTTCTGTTCCTGTTTACTGAAGTTGTATATGTTCTTCTTTCTAATATACTGTAGAGTTTTTTTATAGCAGGGTTTTTGAGAATGTTGAACAGTCAATTGCCTTTAACCTTGGCACAGCACCAAACCCAGATACATCCTTTTTTGTTGTTGCTGTCTTCATGATGATTTATTGGTGTGCCCCTTCCAGGGAAATAATTGTCAAGCTGCTTGGTTTTGAAATTACTTTTCTGGAGAAGGATAAACATAGTATTGTTTTAAAAGTGTCTTTCTAGAAACTGCAGAAACACTGATTTAGATACTGGTGGTATGCCTTAGCTTTGGAGTTCAGCATATCAGAACTTTGACCACCTCATTCAGAATTTGAAACATGAACGTAATTCATGTGATTATTATCAAACTGAATCCAAATAAAAGTTTCAGTTCAGGAAAATGTGTTCAAATGTAAAGAAGTAGTTCAGTGTTCATCTGAATTGGGGAAGGTTTACTATAGTATTTCAGAGTCGATCAAGGTCTAACAAGAAGTGGTTTTTTTGATTGCATGTTGTATAAATCTCTCTTGTTTAAATGTAATCATGTGCAGGGCTTTTTTCTCTTTTCAGTTGTCTCCAGGGAATAATCAGAAAGAGGGAAAAGAGGATTTGTACTTACTGTATTAATAAGAAATACATATCTTGTTTTCCATGGAAAAAACCTCACAAAGTTGTGGTTGTGCCAGATATACAAATGAGACCCATGGAAGAGAGAGTTAAGCCTAATGACAGAGAGAAGCTGACTGTGGACACCTAAACCAGACTCAGAGCTGGAAAGGTCACACTGGTGAAGTGGTGATCATATCCCCTATGCAGAGATGCAATATACGTGCTTTCCATTAGTGTATCTTAAAGGGTGATGTAAAGAAGGGCCCTCAGCACTTACTTTGTTTGTAGCTTGCCTCCCCTTTGTGGTACCTGTCTTGTCTCTGTAGCTCTTTGGATCAAGGACCTTCTATCCCATTTATTTTGCATCACTTAGTATAAAAAGGTTCGTTCTTCATTGGTTTCTCAATTGTGCCATTTAAAGTCATTATTTACAACCAACTACACCTATATGTGGGGAAAAAAAAAAGTGTGCACATTAAAAAATTTTAAATAGAAATAAAGATGAAATAAGTGGTAGTCTGTGCTCATTCTTGTTAGGTTTGCTAACCTAGCATAATTTCATTTTCATTATTAACTTTTAAAAGGAGTGCTATGATCTTTTTAACACAACTTCTCTAATTTTCTTAGAAATCTAATTCAAATGTAAATACTTTGTGAGGCAAGAATGTGCAATCATTCCAGCAATTAATATTCAGAAATACAAGTCAAATGTGGCTTGTAGAAGGGAATTGGAGATTTTTGTAGACCTGATACAATACACATTTTGACCCCACGGCTGCATACCTGAAACCTTGGTGAATTGAAACAGCAGTTAAACAGTGGCTTAAGCGATGCTGCCTGTAGAATCTGTCTTCTGTGAGTCCTGGTATAGAACACACCCTCTAAATGAAGATACCTATTGATTGTGTGTGTGAAGAGTGATCAAGCTTTCCATTAAATGCGTTACAGGTAAAGTTTAAAATTGTTGTATGTGTTCTGATGCATTTGTTCAGATATGCAATGAAGTCTGAAATAAAACCTCAATGCTTTTTTATTTTTGAAGTGTTTTTATAAATGTTTTTATTGTGCTACAGCAGCAGGAAATTTTGCATTTCTACCTTATTAGCATGCCTCATCTTCAGGATCAGAGTTCAGCTGACAGTCACACTTAGAATCAAAAGTAAATACTGTTAAATATGGGTGGGCTTTTGTCAAAACACTTTGTGATTAAAAAGTCAAGGAGCTGAGTGATACAGATCATGTGTTTTAATTAAAGAGCTGAGGGATTTCCTGCCACTTAAACACAGAAAATCAGAATACCTTTGGGTTTTTGCACTTTGCATTGTGTGTGTACGTGTGTTGCCTGAAACTTTGATTACCTCATTCCTTTGTAGTCATGAGACACAGACAACCTGCTGGGATCATCCTAAAATGACTGATCTCTTCCAGTCCTTAGGTGAGTGCATTTCTTAAAATAAATCATTATGTGATGTTCATTCCATGAGTAAAAGCCTGCATTTGTCTGCTGACCATGTCTGAGTTGCCATGAACTCTGTATAACAGAGCATTTCCCACTTTGCAATGAGACACGTGTTGCAAGAAGCCTACTGCCTTGATCACGTCACATTTATTGCCTTTCAGTAATTTTAAAATTTTAATTCTGAACAATGTGCTCTGACTGTATGCTTTAATGCAGTGTCTGCTTTATTTCTGTTAAATCCACGAGGGATTGTCCAACGATGAAGGCTGGATGCATGTTTAAAGCAGTATGCTGGTCTGCAGGGAACTTAATTTTTGTAGTAAATCAGAGCAGCTAAGCTATCAGTAAAGGTTAAGACCATATCATGGTACTGGTTCAACACGCCCTGCTAACGTTTACATTTAATGTGAAATCTTCCTTTGTAAGGAGCAAAAAGGTAAAATACTGTTAAGTGAGGAAAACTGTTACTATACCCATCAGTTTCTAAAATAGAGCTTATGGCTAGCTGACTGTGTCTTTCAAAGGACTGTTTACAAAGCCATGGCATAGAAATTATGGCTTTAAAAGCCATTTTTCTCCGTTACTGTGCCCTTTGCTGCCCTCTGTTTCCTGTATGTTGTCTGATGGAATTGTAAATTATTTGAGAAATGTACTGTATTTGAGCACTTGTCTGGAAACTACTTAACTCTGCATAATATTTATGTAAAACTATTATATGTATATGTATTACATGTGCCAAGATAGTGTCAGGATTTCTGGTGTGCCAATCTCTGAAGGCCCTGGGCTGTCAGAGTCAGGAGGCTTTCCCTGCAGGTGGATGGGACTGAGATCCCAACTTCCCAGTTTGTTTTAATTGTTCTGATATATCCTATTAATTCATTGCAGAGAAGAGAAGGGATATCAGATTTCCTCAAAAATGTGAAAATTTATGTGTAAAGGAAACGTATGGACTCTGTTTTTAGGGCTGCTCATGTTTCTGTTCTGCTATTTCAGCTGACTTGAACAACGTACGCTTCTCTGCCTACCGTACGGCCATCAAAATCCGAAGACTGCAGAAAGCACTGTGCTGTGAGTTTGGCCTTTGAGACAAATTGTTTCTGTACAGAACTTGGGGAAAGTACTTAAGCTTAAGTCTAGCAACATTAATGTTTCACGAGGGATCAGATACACCCTTGACAGATTGTCAACCAACAAAATGGCTGGAAGAGCTGCCAATAGTAGGTATCATTATTGCAAATAAATAACATCAATTAATGAAAAAAGGAGTGCAGCAGGTAAGTTGAAATGACATGCCACCAAGAATACTTTGAGAAGTGATAGGAAACTAAATATTTGACCTGTTGACTGTTGCGTGCTGTTCCTGGTACAAGCTGATACAAACCAATGTGAAATGATGTGAGCTAAAATCCTGACCTTTCAAATAATGCTCAGGTATTTTATTGTATTTTAGAGTTGTATTCCATTTTTTGTAAGTGTTTACTGCTGCTACATATAACTTTGAAAATACTTCTACCTCTCAGAGGGATTATCTTGCTGTGTGAATTCCAGTTAAAAAGGAGTTCAGGCCACTCAAAGTGGGAGGGGAAAGGATCTAGATCTGTATAGCTGGTTATAGGTAGTTGGTATTGCTGTACATTTTAATCACAAAAACCTACTAGGACAAAACAAACTGCTATTATTAGCAGCAATAGTACATGTATATATTGGGGATGTGGGGAAAGGTCTTAAATTTACAGAATCACAGAATCTTTGGGTTGGAAGGGACCTTTCAAGGTCATCTAGTCCAACGCCCCTCCAATGAGCAGGGATACCTGGAACTAGACCAGGTCACTCAGAGCCCCATCCAACCTGACCTTGAATGTTTCCAGGGATGGGGCATCAACCACCTCTCTGGGCAACCTGTGCCAGTGTCTCACCACCCTTAGTGTGAAAAACTTCTTCCTTATAACTAGTCTAAATCTGCCCTCTTTTAGTTTAAAACCATTACCCCTTGTCCTATCATAACAGGTCCTGCTAAAAAGTCTGCCCCCATCTTTCTTCTAAGCCCTCTTGAAGTACTGGAAGGCTGCAAGAAGGTCTCCCTAGAGCCTTCTCTTCTCCAGGCTGAACAACACCAACTCTCTCAGCCTGTCCTCATTTAGGTAGGAAATAGCAATGCATTTAGTATGTACTTTGGATATTCTGCCCAGACCTGAGTTGGCATTTGTCCCTGTTCTTAAGCTATCTAATAATTCAGCCACAGCTCACTCTGAACAGTGCATAGATTTTTGTCAGCCATAAAGGATAGGTGTCTACTGAGTAGGTTCAGCTGTCTAAATTACTTCATTTCCAAGGTTCATGCTTGTATCTCCAATTTTGTGTTCTATATTTGATAGGTATTTAAAAAAGCATTTCATATTACTTCACAATTATGGTTTAATTCAGTAGCAAGTTGTGTGACTATCATCTTCAAAGTTTAGCAGCCTCAGAAATAATGTATCAGGAGGTCTTGTCCCGGCCTCTGGACTTGAGTCTTATCTCTGAGTCACACAGCAAGTACTTCACTGCAGTTCTAGGCTCTTGACCGAGTCTCCTGTGTGGACCAACTCAGAGTACTCTTTGGAGTCATCCTGACACTGGTGTTTCTGCATTGTCCTTGGGAATCAGGGTGAGAAAAAGAAAGATGGTACTTTGGGGGGGGAACTGCTCAATGTTTATGTTAGAGACATGGGATTGAACTAATAGTTTGATGTAATACAGAAATAGTTTACACTACAGAGAGAGACAAGACATGAAGACAGTATAACTGAAAGGGCAGAAAGCTTCGAAGGAAGTGAGATTTTGTGAGAAGGCAGAGAAGAGAGGGTGTGCGGAAGAAACTAGCTGAAACAGAACTGGGGAGATTAAGGTGTACAAAAAGAAAGGAGTGCAAAAAATTCTGTTGTAGAGATTATGAGAATATGAATTTTAAAAATTATTAGGCCTATGAATGGAAAAGAAAATATATAAAAACCACACATCTACAGGAAAGAAAATAGGGTGAAGTAGAAAAAAATGGAAACTGGACAATTTTGGAAGGAGATGTGGGTTGTGAATGAGTGTGACGGTTTAGACATTTTGAAAGGTCTTGGCAACAGCTGGTATAAAAATGTTGTACCAACATTACCAAATTTTCTTGTTTAAACTCAGGAGTCTCTGCTGTGGAAGGACTTTTCAGCCATGAAGGGTATACAGTACTGCAGTCTGAGTAGGAAAACAAGAAGGGCAAAGACATCCTAAAGAGGCAAGCAAGGAAGGAGTTGCACAAAGTGAGGTCTCTCCCCACCCTCCAGGTGGCTAGTTTTCCTTCCAGCCTAGAAGTCAGCAGTCTGATCTTGACAGTAGCTTCTTGACTGGACTTCAGATATGCGTTATACCAAATCAAGCTGTGCCTGAGATGTTAGCTAGCTACTCCAGAAACCTAGACTGCATCTGTGCAACAGCACAGGCTCTTGGGAGTACCTCTTGCTGCTTCTCGATATGCTATGCTGGCTTCTCACAAAATTTTAAATCAAGTTTAAGATCTTGGGTTCAAGTTTTTACATTTGGAAAAAAGCAGAACCTGTCCTTTGAAAAATTATCTGATGGTATTGAAAGAAAAACTGTATTTCTTTGGAACAGCCTAGAGCTTCTCTGTGCAAGAGATATGGTCTCACCCGAGGCTATAGTTTCATCTCCCAGCAAGACTAAAGAGCATTATGAGCTTTCTGCTTTTCAGTGGCTAGGGTGTAAGATAGGCATCAACACGTACCTAAAAACCAAATGCAAAGCAAGAAATGAGAAAACAAAGTAAAATTCTCCTGTGCGTGCTGCTCCCCAGGGAAGAGTGAAAAAACAGACTGGACATGATGGATGCTAATCATGCTGCCTATTTCTGACAGGCATACAGATTGTCTAGCCACTTGTATAGAACAAACTTGATGTTCATTACTTCTAATAAGTTTGAGGAACATACTTCCTCCTTTTGGTTTTACTGCTAAATATGTAAATTTCTGCCATAACTGCAATGGTTAGCTCTCCTCATTCACAGATTTCAAAAATGCATTCCTATCAAAGTGAATAGTGTTTCCAGTTTCAGGGGAGGGAGGTGGAAGGAGGACAGAGGGAAGTAGTAACAAGTAAAGAGAATATTCCAGTTTGAAAAAGCCAGGAGTAAAACTGTCATGTCTACAGATCCAATCTGCCTTGTTATTTATCAGGCTGTTTGCTTATTCCATCTCTCTGCCTCATGGGAGGAGACAAAAGCCAAAAAAATCTTTGTCTTTGTTACACGGACATATTTGCCCGTGGATTGGTGTAATTTGTGATAACACATTGCAGGTTTTTAGGAAAAACATTACAGATTATCCACAAAGCTAAATGCTACAAGAATTTTCTGTCTCTGAACAGGAACTTGTTATGATCTGGTCCAATTTTAGGACCACCTTCAAAAATATAATCAGTGCTGTTGCTTTTGTCATTGTTTGCTTAGTGATTATTTCTTGCCGGGGAACAGGTCAAATTCCCTTTGACTGTGATGATTCTCTGCCTGATTCTGCCCCAGGAATGGCTGCTGAGATAGCCAAAACACAGCATGTGTTAGCACCTTCTCTCTGAGGAAGGGAAGAGTATTTAAGCCCTATCTAGAATTCTTTTCTTGACTTTTTTTTGTTGGTGGTTTTGTTTTAAGGTAGGGCAAGAGTCATCTCCTGTGCCCCTGCCATTCATTCTCTGGTCTGATTTACTTTAGTCTTCCGTTGTATTTCTTGTAATTTTAACTGTGGATGTTTTTTAAAGGTGTTTGGATGCAGAATGCTTCAGAAAGGCTTATGTGCTAAGGCAAAAAGAATGTCAAAACAAATCACTAGAATGAGGTCATTGTAAACTGTAAAGCATGACAAATTGCTGTCACAACCGCAGTGTGTATAACTGCAAAGGCCTTTTTGGTGAGAACTCCAAGGGAACAGCTGGAGCAGGATGCACAGTCCCACTTGCACCTAATAGATTTTGACTTTGCAGTGAAGACTGGTAACACAGTATTAGTGCTATACAAGCAGGTTCAGGAGCATGTAATTTGAGGACCGCACTTCGGAAAACTTTGCTGATGTCAAACCTCTCTTCTGAGTCTTTGGTCTTGGTAAGTGTCAAAAAAACATGGTTCTGGGGAATTTACTCCCTCCCACTTCCCTCACCCTCCTTTAGAAGCAGGAAAGTAGAATCATGTTTCATCTTGTTCTGTTTTTTGGAAGGTAAATTCCTGCAGAGACTAATATATGTGTGTATGTACCTACATGCATTTATTTTGTGGGAAGCTGAGAAAGGTTGCAGGTTCTTAAATTCTTAGCTTCTGTGTCTCAGATTATGTGGGTCAGATGTACTGAGAGCACTTTTCCACTGTAGCAGAAGAAGAATGGGGCCAGAGAGAGTATTGCGTGTTGAAGTTTTACCAGGCAGCTATGCAGTGCCAGACCTTGAATTATATTTTATTCTGATGCAGCTTACTTTAGCTCATTTCAAGAAATTATATTGCCCCAGGTACTGAAGTGTAGTACTGGAAGGGAAAAAAGGAACAAAACCACCATGTATATTCAGAATTCTATAACTGAGATCCTCTAGGTGATTTAAAATTTAAAAATGCTAATAGGAATATCAACTGCACAAGGCTAAGGAACAAACATTAAGGCACAACAGACTAAAAGCATGGGTCATGTCGACTTCCCTCAGCCATCCAGTCTTTTGCAGGAACTGCTGTCATTCACAAGGTCTTTCTAATACAAACGCTCCAGAGCAATGCCTGCCTATTTGCTGTGGGGTTACAGCAGCCTCAAATTTGCCATTAGCAGCTACATGTCATTACTTGCTCCTGAGTCAGTCAGTCACATCTGCTTGAACCATGCTGAATGATGTGGTTTCTGTTTATAGTTTTCCTTTGGGAAAGTCTTCTCGCTGCAGAAAGGACCCTTGTGTCCATTTGTTGGTTAACAGCAGGATTCGTCTTTCAGCACATCTGAGCAGATGCAGAATGGTACTGCAAAAATGCACTAAAAGCTGTATACAGTAGGCTTCATGCCAGCAACAGCATGTGAGTCTCAGGTTAGCTTTTCTCCATCTGCATAAACACAGTTTATTTTAAAACTTTCAGAAATGGAAATATAATGAGTAATGAGAAAATAATTCCTCTTTACATCAACTCAATCTAGGAGCTCTGCTAGTGGTTACATCTTGCCATGCAGGATAACTGCCTGTACCCAAAGTTCACTCAGACAGGTGAGTGCTGAAGTAAGCAGGGATGGAAATAGTTTTCCTCTGGTTGTTATCCATGAATGGTGTCATCCAAAAGTGTAAGCTTTGCTTAATTTGCATTAGTACAGCAGCAGAATTTCACTTTAGTATGAAAATACTGGAAGTACTTCTGCCAGTTCATTCTAGAATCCTTTGGCAGAAATGTGAATGTGAGATCTTAATGCCAGCAGATCAAGATGTGAAGTTAGCAGGTTTAGTCCAGTGTCTGTTGAATTAACATTTTCATTGCAAGGATCTGTATGTTAAGCCAAGCCCAGCATGCTACAACTTTCTGGCATTAAAAAGTATTTCAACATTGGCTTTACAAGGGGCAGGTTTTCAGTGCTGTCAGTCTGTTTTAGGAAGCTCCTTACCTGCTTTTAGCCAACCATTAAGTACGTTACAAAAACAGGTTGAAAAAAACACCACTGCCAAACTGGTTGCAATAATTTTGAGAGGTTTTTTTTTCCCCTGTAGGTCATGAAGGAAAAGCATGAAAAGTGGCCATCTCTCCTGTGTGCAATATTTATGTGATTGGATGGAATGTTATAGTTTTGGAACTGGCTTCCCCCGCTTCCCTCCACCCCTCAAAGAAGTAGTCTGTGCTGCGTTGTGGTGTGGGGTTTTTTGGGGTTTTTTTGGTTTTAAATACGCCTGTGAGCCTTTTCCAGTGTATTACATATTTTCCATACTGTTGAAGATTATGCTGCATTGTACTGCCAAATACTTTTAGCTACTTCAGGTCAAAGTAGTGGCAAGGTGTGTTGCTGCAATTAGCAGTATGCCTGTTTGGTAAATATATGGCCGGCATTTCTTTGCAAGCCCAAGAGATGGGCTTTTAGAAAAAAAGAAAAAGAAAATAAAAAGCTAACAAATGTAAAACCCCTGCAAGTCTGATGCTGCAAAGTTAGAACAGAATGTAGGGATGTCAGTGAGGGAGAGAAAAAGTAAGGACTGTGAGGTGCTGTTTCTCATTTTGCAGTGACGTTAGGAAGGGTAGATAGAGGAAATGGGATTGGGAATGTAACCTTCTTTTGGCCTATAACCTTATCTTCTGGTAGGTGCTCACTGAGTTCTTGACAGAGTTGCTCATAGTGGTTAGTGTTGTCTTGCTCCTGCATTTTTCTGCTGTACTTATTTTCCAGCCCAAGCTAGACTTACCTGATTTGCGCAGATTGCCCTTCTGGGGTCCTTATTTAACATTATGGGTGCAGAGCAATTTGCTACATATCTGAGATTGTCATATTTCATTTCCTTTGAGAGATGACATTTATAGTGTAGATATGTTACTGGCTCCCCAGAAACAGCTCTGTACGAGCTCAGAATATACTTCAACTTCATGTTGTATATACTATAGCAAGCATATTGATATATTGCAACTGTTGTTTTTGCTAAAGTCCTCACTCCTGTCAAAAAATGTCAGAGGATTATGCCACCCTTTGACTTACATTGTTCTTCCTTCTTTTACACCAAAATGTTGCCTCTTTTCCCCTTTGTTTTGCAAAAGGAATTACAAGAGCTTATTGACAGCTTTTTGTTTTCACAATGCAAAATCCAGATTTTCACAATCGCAATCACATTTGTGTGGTTTTGGGGGCAAAAGCTTTGTCACCTCTAGGATATCCATAGCATCACCAGATGCTTAAAGAAAGCATGCTGTAATAAAGGAGATAAAAATATTTTTCATGAAAGCATAGCATTTTGTGTTCTGGAAAACTACAATAAATAACTTCCCAGTGTCCCTTCCTGCTTTCTGTTAAGCTTTAATTTAGCAACTGCTGTTCAGTTAATCAGGCCTCAGTACATTCCTACTACATTTAAAAGAACATTGTTACCTAAGAATTTGCTTTGCTTTACATTTAATCAAAAGTGATAGTCATTTAATGGGATCCACTTTATGATAAACATGGAGAACCCTCTAAGCCTGGTGGAATCCCAGTGTGTGTACATCTGAAGTTAGGATCCTCTCATTACACAGGCTCCTTCAGCAGCTTTTTTAATGTTCTTCTGAGCAGTGCAGTGCTGTTATGGTGTTCTTGTTGATTGTTTTTTTAAACAAATAGTACCAAAATGCTGTTGACTTCAAATGGACAACAGTTTTTCACTATAACGTCACTAAATGAAAGCTACTTCTTGGCTAATTGTCTGCAGTGTTTGCTACAATATGCACGTGAAAAGTATTGTGAATGCTATGCTTGAGCATCTGTATTCACATCTTTTTTCTTTTTCTTTTTTTTTTTTATTCACCTGTTGTTAGTGGACCTGTTGGACTTGAACACAACAAGTGAAGTTTTCAAACAGCACAAGTTGAGTCAAAATGACCAGCTGATTGGTGTCCAGGATGTGATCAGCTGTCTCACTACCATCTACAGTGGACTTGAAGAGAAACACAAAGATATGGTGAATGTTCCTCTCTGTGTAGACATGTGTCTTAACTGGCTACTCAATGTATATGATAGGTAAGTAAGAAACTTTTATTCACAGTTTGTACCCTAAGGAATTTAATGTAGTAGTAACAAAGTATAAACCACGGAGACAGAATCGGTAAGATTTGCACATGTGACTTGCCAAAAATGCTAGACTTATGGGACTGTTCTGTATTTTTTCTGAGTATTTTCTTGAGGAAATGTTCATGATAATAGAAAAATTATAAAGCCTTAAGAAGTTCTTTAATAAAAAGTCATATCTTTTGATAATTTTGACTCAGTAATGAAAGTGCAATTGCTTGAAATTACATGTTTCTTATGCTGTCCTGCTCAGATACACTGAACTAACGTTACACTGCTTACCAAAGAAACATTGAAAGGGTTTCAGGAAGTGTATATGTGAATAGAGAACTGAATACGCTGCTTTAGCTATGTTCCTACTGTAAATGTTCCAAATTGCCCAGACTGATTGCTGTTCATACTAGATCCTATTTCTGCCACAGGTGGGGACAGTTTTGTTATTTACTTTGCACGTGGTTACTTACATGCCATAATCCTGGCTGAGCTCCCTGTCCTGAATCCTCTGTTGAGTGGTGGTTGTTGTGATCCCAGGGCTAAAGCCTCTCTGATTCTGGAGGCTCAGCAGTGTCCTGGTCCTGGCTCACTTCCCGCATGTGCAGCTATCACTCCTGTCCTGAGTGCTCGTGCTGTGTGATCCACCTGCCCTGGTCTTGGCAGCAAAGCTGCATTTCCCTGGCGGATTGTGAGTTTGTCTCAAGAATCTTTCAGGATGCTTACAGTAAGAACTTGTGGGTTTATTTAAATGCATATCCACTATTTCCAGAGAGAGCACTAAGTCTCAGAGGACACGAAAAAGTCTATTCCAGAAGCCCCTTGTGGTTTTTGGCAGTCCTTTCTGAACCCCCAGACACTTTTTTCTTCTACTGAGTGTCAAACTCTGACCTCTCTGCCCTGACCCGCACTATTTCAGCCTGCATGACTTACAATCAGTATGTTTCTATTTAGTTGTGCTTTTGAGTTGTGAATTTGTTGCTCATTTTTCATAGTGGTGTTTACTATTTTCATTTCTCTTCTGTAGTAAAAACTGGGAAAAGACTTGGTTTCCATCAGCTGCTCCATTCCCTGTAATGTATCTCCTTACATTGCTTGAGCAAAGGCATTTCAGGACTCCTCTGGAGCTGACTAAAGATACAGTAGTGCAGTACCTGGGATGGTTGCTTCAGCGTGTCTAACTGAACATATGCTTTAGTTCACAGTTATACACAGAATTACAAATCATAATTTCTAAGCTGCATGAGGTTGGTTAGCAAATTTCTTCCCTTTCTCCCCATTTGAAGATGGACAGAGCAAAAGTATTTCTTGAGTAATGATAGAAATTCTTATATCCGGCTTTGCAAAAGACAGCTGTTACTTCTTGGTGTATGCATTATCTTCACTATGTTCACTCACTTAATCAGTGCCAAATTCTAACAGTCCACAGCTTTTTGCTTTTTTACCCCCAGAGAATTACACACCAGTAGTCCTATACTTTGTGTATATTTTATTTTATTTTGTTTTCAATTTAAGTATTGTGGTAGGGGAGAGGGAAGGAGGGAACAGAGTACGTACGACCATTTATTATTTATGTACTGACTACCTATTATGCTTTGGCATTCGAATATTGCTGTTTAATATTGTGACATTTCTGTTAGTTGGACTCCTCATCATTACTGCTTAAAAATTGGAGATCCCATCCCATGTCTGGGACTTCTTCCTGCATTATTTTTTATTTTTTATTTTGCAGAGGTCTGTATTGTGGGTGAATAAACACACGACTTGCAAATAGAACAGTAGATCAAGTGGGTTGCTCGACTTAAATGTTACTGTTTATTTAGAATAAGAGACTTAATAATGGCAGAGAATTTTTTGTTAGTTTTAATAGTTGGGTTTTTTTCATATTAGTCACAAATCCATTATATTTTCTTCAGCTTACCTCTGCTTCCTACCTTCAGTTGGAAGTCAGTTGTTTAATTTGTTCATATTTAAAATGCACATAATAAGCAACAAACCTTTCTTTCAGTGATGTTTCCTGTTGCTCCCATTTCCTCTTGATTATTATGTTGAAAGCTTTAGTGTAGATAATTCAAGCTGATGAAAAACTTTAATCTTCAGTCAAACTTTGAAAAATAGAGGATAAAGGTTTTTTGAGATAAAATTACCTTTTACAATATGTTCCCTTGCTCCCCTTTCAAATCCACTCCAGGAAAAAAAAAAGCTGAAAGAACAGGCACCAATTTTGAGCTGCCCTTTTTTTTTTTTTTTTAATTGGCCTTTTGGAAAAAACTTATTTGTGTCTTGGCATTTCCATTGTTTATGGCACTGGTGTTATTCACATAGAATGTTTCAAATCATTAAACTGCCTACAAAAAGCATCTGTTAGTCACATGCTATTAATCTGAGATTTAATTACCGATTCACAGATTGATGGCAAACTGGGTAGTTCTTCAGACTTACCTACAGATGTCTTTGGCCCTTAAAGTGAACCAATTTATTTTTAGAAATAGTAGGCAAGTCTGTTGTGTTCTGGTATTTTCTGACACATCAGGAATGATTCATTCTTCAAGCTGAGGAGAGAAGCATTAAATTTACTCGGTGACTTTTACTTCTTGAAGGACTCAAAGGTTATTCCAGGCAGCAACATCTGCCCAGTAAACATTTTCCAAAGTTAAAGTTCCTTCTTTTGGTTAGTCCAGAGATCTTTATTTTAAATGAAATTATAAATAATTGTGCTGCATTTTACAATGAGAGCTGTGGGCGAAACTGTTTGATATATGAAATCATTTTACCAGGCCTTTGTTTAAATCATCCAAAAGCAATAGCTGGTGGATATTTTTCTGGACTATATACTCTCAAATTTGGTAAAATCTGCAAAAGTCATTTACATGAAATGGACTGAAAACTTTCAGTACTAATGGAATAACTCGACGCCCTTTGAAATGAGCTGGTTTAGATATTTTAAAGTCTGTCATACATAATATAGAATGCATGTACTAATTGTGGGTGATGACTATTTCAATCAAGATTACCTAATGTCCATAAAGAAACTTTTACATGCACTGTTTTTTAAAGTCTTGCAATGTTTATCTGACTTCTTATATTTCAACTTCTACATTTTCTTGATTTTTGTGATGTTAGTACACTTTTGATAATGCATTCTTTTAAATTTTGTTTCTTTGGTGCATTAGTCTAGGAAGGTTATCTATGGTATTGCATGTATGCTAACCTTTTTCATATGACCAAAGCTGTCATTCATCATCATTCTTTATGGCCCAGGCTTCCCCTGAGGAACTAAATCTTTGTTATTTATTGTTGCACTTACATACCTGGCAAATTCTAACACCAGGTTGAATTAATAACCCAGGCCTTACCAGCATGTTAAATTCAGCAAAATCTGAACTTCTGAGGAATGAGGATGAGAGACCTGCTCAGTCAGCCTTAGCTTTATGCCCTGATGTTGACATTAGCTGATGGAAATTTTCTGCTCGCACTCCATTTGCATTCCCTGTACTGATGATAGCTGTCTTGATTCATTCAGGACTCTGCGGGAACAGCTTGGCAGGCTGTGATAGTAGTAAGAAGCGCTCTAGGAAAGACGTGGCCCTCTGAAGGGCAGGAAAATGATCTCCTTTGTCTCCTCTGTGGTTGATCAAGGGGAGGCATCTGTGAGGACCTTCAGAGAGCTACCAGGCTGCCTCCTGTTGCTGGGTTATGTAGATAACTGATAGGTACCATCCTTGGCAGTCCTTAATCATAGCGTCAACATTGACCAGGCTTAAGAGCTCTTTGATAGAAGTCACAACTGAAGGGGGCTCATCCTCTTACTAGTGCCTGGTGTTTTCATGCTGTTGTCCCCTACCCTCAGGGGACATAGGTTTCCTCTGGACTTGATATTGCTTATCTTGTTTTCTGTTGATTTCCCAGTCATCCTTATTGTGTATTCCTGTTTGCAATCTCTTGTACTTAATCTTATCCTCTGTCTGGCAACTTTTTATTACTGGGCTAACCTCCTGTGTGCAGCTGTGCCCATCACTGTTTGTCCCTTTGGCATTCACATACTTAGGTAAAATGCTTATATATTATGTCTGGCTACACCATCACGCTGCTACAGAATACTTGCATACCATTGTTGGTAACAATAGTTTTATATGCTTATATTCAACAATCTAATATTAATTGTATCCTGATTAGTACGTTTATAATTGACAGGAGTCACAGGTCTCTCTTTCCTCTCCCCGTCCCCACTAAAGCAATAAAATTCCAGTTCGCTTGGGGAAGAAGAATGTCAGCATCATATTATGTCCAGAGGGACAAATGGACTTTAGTAAACAAGAACAGTGCTTCTAACAAGCAGCTATAATGGTTTTGCCATTTTTTACTTGAAGATAGGTCAGAGGTCAATAATGTGCCATTTTTATACTGCCTTTCACTGTTGTATTGACTGAGAATGGGTGAGTTTGCTCTAAACCACTTAGTAGATGTATAATGGTTCACATTTCCCTTCATCAGGATCAGAACGAAAAAAAACCTGAGATGCTTAAAGTGGTCTTATCAATTCATTTTGTAATGACAATCGTACTTGGTATTGCTATAAAGTGTATCTGAATAGTGTGCTGGCACTTCATCCTAAATACTTGACCCATAAATTCTGCATGAATTCAAGCGTTAAAAAGTTTGCTGAGCCTTCCCACCGTAAAACCTTGATTTCTAGATGTTTGTACACACAGAACAATTAGATCGTTTTGCTTCCATTCAGAGGGACCTTGACAGGCTGGAGAAAGGGGACGACAGGAACCTTGTGAAGTTCAGTGAAGGGAAATGCCAAATCCTCCTCCTGAGGAGGAATAACTCTGCAACTTTCCTGACTGGCTGGAAAGCAGGTTTGCAGGGAAGGCCCTGGGGGTCCTGGTCGACACCAAGTTGAACCTGAGCCAGCAACATGTGCTTGTGGCAAAGTAGGCCAACAGTATCCTAGGCTGCATGACGAAAAGCATTCCCTGAAGGTCGAGGGAGGTGATCCTTCTACTCTTCCCGGCATAGTGAAACACATCTGGAGTGCTGGGTCCAGTTCTGGGCTCCCCAGGACAAGAGAGACATGAACAAATTGGAGAGAGACCAGGTCCAGTGAAGTACTGTGAGGATGATTAAGGACTTGGAGTATCTGATGTGTCAGGAGAGACTGAGAGAGCTGGGACTCTTCAGCCTGGAGGAGAGAAGTCTCGGGGGGATCTTATCAATGTGCATAAATACCTAATGGGAGCAGCAGAGAAGATGGAGCCAAGCTCTTCTCAGTGGTGCCCAGTGACAGGACAAGAGGCAGTGAGCACAAACTAAAACACAGGAAGTTCCGCTTAAACGTATAAGAAAAAGCTTTTTTTAATATAAGGATGATTAACAGTGGCACAGGTTGCCCAGAGCAGCTGTGCGGTCTCCATCCTTGTTGATATTATAAACCTGACTGGAGATGATCCAGGGCAACCTTCTCTACCTGACTGAGCAGGTGCCTTGGTCTAGATGATCTCCAGAGGTCCCTTCCAACCTCAGTGGTTTCGTGACTCTCTAAGGTGGGAAAATTTAAACCATTGAATTGGAAGTGTCAATGCTACAAAGTCTGTAGGTTTGGTGGGGGTTTTTACTTGTATATATAGTTGCAGTGCTAATAATCAGCTGTTTCCAGGAAAAAGGCTAGGGGGAAAATATGTTGCTCCTTAGAAAAATGTAATATTGCAGGCTTTGTAATTCTTTTTTATAATTTATTGAGGAAATTTTTTGTGCAAAGGAAGTTTTTCACAGTCCCTATAACAATCTTCTAAAATCTGGAGAAGTTTGAAGCCTCCACATATATGCCCTGACCTTCTAGCTGCAAATTTTTTCTGAATTTTTGCCTTTATTAAAGAAATGCTCTAATCAGTCCTGAGTTAAATCAAACCCAAATGAATGTTCTGCTTTGTTTTTCCATTGCATACAAAGTTAAAACACAGAAACCCTACACAGGAAAAAATTATGAAAGAATTTTATCAAGGTTGCAAAATGAGCCATTTACATGTTAAGGTATGCCAGAATGATGTAGTGTCTGTGACTGAAAGAGGTAATTTGAAGCTAAGCTTAAATGTATAAAATAAGTGTCACTTTCATAACATTCTGGAAAATTGGGTCCTGATTTTCAAACTAGGCAGTAAAGTAATGGGCATTTTGATTAATTTGGCAATAATTTCTCTGTACCCCTGTTTCAGTTTGTGGAATAGAGAAGGTAATACCGTCTGGTCTCACTAGACTAGATGATGGTTGTGAAGACAAATGCATTAATATTTGCAAGGTACTTAGCTAATTTACTGAGAGCCCAGGAGTAAATTAATAATTTTGTATTCAGCACAACATTTGTGAAGTAAATCAGGCAGCAGACCATAAGTTGAATGGATAGGACAGAAGGGTATGTAATAACCACTCCAGAAGTAATTAAAGGATATATCACTTCTGCATGACAGAATGGATGAAAGTAATGTTTGGGGTGATACTAATTTTAGTATTGTCTTGCTGGTGAAGGACCCAGCTAACCTTAATTGCAGGGATGTGTGTATAATATATACAATTTAACTACTATTTTCATGATTTGTTTTACATGACTCATCTAAAGACAAATTGCGTGGTGTTTTTTGGTCTTTGAAAGAGGATATCATCAGGTCTTTTAAAAATATGTTTCTGTACTGATCTTTTGAACTTTAAAATTGTCCTTTTCTATGTACCCTGGTTTTATTGCTTTTGATGTTATCTTTTTGAACAGTGTTTGTCTTGCAGCTTTAAAATCACTTGCTTTGGTACCCATTTACCTGTTCTCAAGTTGCTTAAGGTTTAATATGTGTTGGATTTGGGCATTATTTTTCTTCCATGTTGGACAATATGAACCTGAAGTCACATTACTTAAAAAGAACAACAGTCCCACATTGTTTAATTACTGCATGTGGTTGGCTGTTTATGTCCTTGTAGACATGTATATCAGAGCATTTTAAACATACAAGGGAAAAATGAAGTGGAAAAAAATTGATTAATTACTGTGATATGAAGATTTGGTTTTATTTTGCAGTCCTTGTGTTTCACACTGGGTGTGCTCATGTATTTTTTTCTCTGTGTGTCACATTATTAAATCATGTTGAGAGCTTTACAGAGCTAACTGTCTGCCCTTTTGGAGTCATACGAACTGTTTTGACATGCAAACCACTTAGAAGGCGAGCTGAGCTTTTGTAAGGGAAGCATTCTTAATGTGATTTGTAGTGTTAATTTGTTTTGAGAGTAGAAGTATATTTGTAGTAGAACTCACTAATGCCTTTGCATTTTGAATAGACTTGAGTTGGAATGAAATAAAATTAAACTGTATTAAATTGTCTTATCTTTATAATTTCAGTGGCCGAACTGGAAAAATTCGAGTGCAGTCCCTGAAAATTGGCTTGATGTCTCTTTCTAAGGGCCTTTTGGAAGAGAAATACAGATGTAAGGAAGAATGTATTTTATAAAATGCTTGCATCATATAAATGTCATGTACAATAACAACACACGTTGTAGCAAAATTTGTAGTAAAACATTTCTCATGCCTGTAGCAAGACAGTTTTCTTGTAGAGTAAAACAGAATTGTTTTCATTATCATCAGTGGCAATGGAGAAAGTTGGACTTATTATGCATTGTCATAATGCACAGTATTGCGCTCCCCAAAAGCGAAGGAGAATGTAGTCAGGTGGAAGATAGAGAAGTATTCTATTTGACTGATTCTGTTCTCTTTTGTGAGTGTGTATGGTTTGTTTAGGGAAAAATCAAGGAAGTCGGTGTTGATTGGAACAGATAGATACATCTCATAAAGGAAGGAAATACATCAAAATCCAGTAATTGTATTTTGTGGTCTATGAGAGTTGATCTGAACTCTGAAAATAGTTTTCCAGTATCTGTGCTTCCTGCCAGAATTGTACAATGAAAGTTTAAATTATGTTGATTTAAGTAATCTCACAACCTTGAGAAATACTAAGTAATATAAAAATATTTCATACAAATATTTGCGGGAGCAAAAGAGAATTGAATAACTTTGTGGCAAAACCGCCTGACAAATAGAGAACAAGAGATTTAGCACTATATAAGAGCATCCTAGGTGATGGACAGTTACATATTATGAACATCATCTTAAAATTACTATTCTTTGCTGTACTTCCTTGACACATTTCGGAAACACATGCAAAATGTATAGAGACTGTATTTGCCACGTATCATTGCAGCTTTGCAACAATTTCTGCTTTCCTTAGAAGTATTTGTAGGTAATCTTGGTTATTAAGGTTGAGCAAAAGTACAGGTATCTTAAGCATTGGGGTATATTTTGGAATCTGAACTTAAGCCCATACTAAGCCTTTGGGTTTTTTAGTTGTTGTTACTCCTGTTCTGGGCCAGGCTTTGATATTTTTATTGTCAGCTGTGTTGTCCTTACGAACCATAAAATTGTCACAAAACAAAACTCTTCAGTCTGAAAGAAATTTTGTGGAAGAAAGAAGGAAGTAACGGCGTCAGGTAGTGGTGGTTGGCCTGTGGTGGTTATGCAGTCAGTGTTTTGGGGTCCTCTGGCACCAGCTGTGTCACAGACTGATCTTTGGTGTGAGCTTTCTTGCTTGGTTTGATTTTGTCACACCCTACTAATCATCTACTTTTGTCAGAAATTTTGTCGTATCTATTGAGCTTTCGGATTCTCAAGTGAAAACCATAATGGAAATGCTAAGTAATTTCAGGAAAATAAGTCACTTGAGAGGCAGATCACTACCCTCAAACATGAGTGCTTAATTCAAATTGCCTGCCTTCTGATTATTCCCTTTCTGAGACCAGCTCCTGACATTTGCTTCTCCTTTTGGCTATATTTCTTATAAGCATTTCTGAGGCGTTGTCAATCCCAGGCAGCAGTTGTCCTACAGTTGCAGTTGGAGCCCCTAGCTGAGCACAAACCATGCCTTAAAAGTTGTGGTCTTAGAGATGCATGCTCTTCTCAGAGTAGCTGGTTGTAAAATAGGCAAGTATCTTGTTTTAAAAACTTTTGGATGAACCCTTCAATCTTTTGTAAAATGCTTAACCAGACTGCTCAAGTGTTTTCTACCTCAGCCTTGCCAGAGACGAGCCCTTTGGGAATCAACTTGAAGAAATGTAATTTCTGGGCTGCTGAGACATTTATGAAATAGTATGGTAAACTGACAGTTTGCCAGTACAATTGGCCTTCATCCTTCTCTCTTACCTTTTTGGGGAAATCAAGGTTTTGTTCTGTTTTCTTTCTTTAAAGTGAAACTTTTTTGTTTCTTTGTTTGTTTTATTTGGTTTTAACAGCTACCTTTAATCACATTCATTACCAGTAAAAATAGGAATTTTATTAACTGTACATTCATTTCCAGTATAAGTAGGATCTTTTCACGTGATGCATTTTAAAATATGTTTTGCCAGAGAAATTCCTGTGTTTTTTTTTTTATTTAATTAAGCTTTTTAAGGTGCTAGACTTCAAGGTTGACACGAGAATGAAGCTTTAATTAAAAAAAGTACCAATTACTTCAGAAGAAACATTGAAGCCTCAATTAAAGAATGCCTATTCTTGAAAATATTGAGAGACACGCTTCACTTCAAGCACATACCTGGATGCTCCTGTGAATAAAAACAGACCTGCAAATGCAATTGAGTTTTTGTAAGCCGGTTACATGTATGCTTGTAGAGCAAAGAGTCCAAGGGCCTCTTTTTGTTGGTGAGGCCAGTGACCTGGTCTGGCTGTATCCAGGTTATGCTCTCCTTACGCCCCAAAACAGGGTGGGGCACATACGAGCTACCTATTGGAAATTATCCCAGACTCTGCCTTACTCTTGCATCGTTTCTGGCTATTCTGGGAGCGAGAATTAGTCGATCTTGATCCAAAAGCATGACAGATACACTTTTAGCAGCTTAATGATACGGATGACAGCGTTCCAGTACCTGGGCCTGCGCCCTGGTGCGCTGCTGAGGTCCAGCCTTAAAAAATGGAAAAGAAAAGAAAGGAGAAGAAAAGAAAGAAGAGGAGAAAAGAAAGGAGGAGACGAGAAAAGAAAGGAGAAGAAAAAGTGCACATAACAAAAAATAATAGTAGCTTAGTTTCAGAATACAGTAACCAGAACACTGTTCCTTTTTACCACTAGTTGTTCATACATTATTACAGGACTTGTGACTACTGTGGAAAAATGTTCTTGGAAGGTAAATTTCAACCATATCAGCAAGTATTTGTAACAGTAAAGTTTTTAATTTGCATGTGTGATTATTCACAGCAGGTATTATGCCTGGTCATGCGATCAGGAGACAAATGATGTCTCAGTATGGATTTCCTGAGGGACAGCAGGAATTCTTCAGTTTTAGAGGTGGAGAAGAGTTATAGCACTGTGTAATAACTGGGAGCACACTCATGTGCATTTCACTCTTATCTGAGCTCATTTTTAACCTAGAAAGCCCAGAAACAGAAAACACTCATGGAGTTTTATTCTGTGCATAGATTTGTAGATTTTGGGTCATATCATTTAATGCATAAAAACTGTAGGATTTGAGGTGAAAAAAAAGGGCGCTCTGAAAAATCTCAACTGTGAAGCAGCTCAATTTTCAAGTGATATACAACATCCTTGGAATGTGATTTTTTAAATGTTATGTTTATGTTGTTAATTTTCAAACCATTTGGAAGTAACACTGTAATACTTTAAAAAAGGGCGGGGGGAGAAAGAATGTGCATCCTGTTTGTAACAATGCACACGAACAGTTGATGGCACATTTTCCATTTTGCATATTTTTAATTATATTTTGGTGTAACTATGGAGTCTTTATCGGTAGATTCCTTGGAACTGCTTGGATGGTTCAGGTTTGACACTGCTAGGTTTGTGATTTGATATCTTGGCAACTTCAGCAAAAGACAAAGTGTGTGTCGTGGACATCTTACTACTAACTATATTATTACCATTTTGGTAGGGATTTAATAGACTTTTCAATATTTTCAAGTATCCCCTTCTATACCAGCCAGTAAGTACATTTTTTTCAGGTTGACCATCTAAGTCGCAGTTTGAGTCCCGCTGGCTGTCATCCTCGGAATACTAGTATGAGGCTGAACTGAATTTAAGATTAACAGATTATTTTTTTTTTTCCATGTTTCTTTTTTTTTTCCTAAGGCTCAGATCTGAATAGTCTCTTCATTCTCTTCCCCAACTCTTCTTGTCCTTTTGGTAGAATCTCCAGAGTTTATCCTTTATATCAATGTATTTTATGTATAAACTCTCATTATATATATGTGCATATTAACAAACTCCATTTAGAAGAGTTTGTGGCTTCTGACATTGCTGGTGGGTACCATGCATGGTCCTTTTTCCCACTGGCAAGTATGGTGTCTGGCTGTACCCTGTCAGACCTAAAATGAGCCCTCCTCCCGTATGTCTGCCACTTGAGAGCTGCTCTCGCCATACCTCCTTTGCCAGGGAATAGCTCATGGGTTACTTTAAAGAGGTTGGCCACATAGCAAGAACATTTTGGTTTTCCATGCCTTGAGTTGAGCCGCTTCTCCTGTGTGTCACACTGAAGGCACTGAGGGTTTTGGGGAAAGAGGATACCATCCATGAGCTCCCTTGCACTTGGACACTCATCGGTTATGGCACAGCTGCCAGTGTTAAGTTTTATTTGTTTTTTTTAGTGAAGTGTGTTGGAGGAGTGTGAGCTCTTCAAAGATATTTGCTGAGATCCTGCTTGGATCAACCCTAGCTGATCACTCTCCCTATTCACTCTCCTGCCACGTTGGTTTTCCTCTATTTACTAGCTCCCCAATCAACTGAATTAAATCTTCAGTTTCAGGCTTGGGAAATTACTTCATCTTCCTCCCAGCTACAGTAGTTAATGAATTGTTATTCTTTTAGTGCCTGTTTCCACTGTAGACTAATGCAAACAGAAAGAGTAAAACAGGCTTTTGTTTTTTTTTTTCTTTTGTAATCCTATCAGTTTTTAAAACTGACTCTTAGAAACTGGAAAACTATGCCAACCACAGCTGAAGACACTAGCCACGATCTGGGATTGCCAAGATGAGCCTGCAGCCATGACTAGTTCTGTCACCACTGTTGTCTGCAGGGATTTTTTTTCTCATCACTGAGTGCTGCAGTTGCTGGAGCATTTGTTTGACTAGGCAGGAAAGGGGCAAGAAAAATACAAGAAACTAAAAATTAATTCAGTCATCCGGATTTCTATTTTGTGAAAATCCTTTCTTCTGCCTCAACCTCTTTTGCCAGGAAAAAAAGTATGACCAGACTTTCTGAAGCATGCTGACAAATGTTGACAGTTGCTCCAAATGAAGGGCAAAACAATTCACAGAGTATAATAAAAGAGTTTCTCTTGAGTGTTTCTGAACAAAGCTTGTCTGTTTCTCAATCAGAAATGCAGTCAGACTGAGTTTTCAAACTTCATTTATTTCTAATCTATTAACGGTTGTTCTGGTGGGAAGCATGAAAAGTAGGAGAATAGTATAAATTGTTTGTTTTTTTTTAATTTTAACATTACTTGAAGCTTTAATCCAAGCCAGCCATTGAGTGCAAAAGGAGAATGTAAAAGCCAACTGGAATGAACACAAAGAATTCACTTCCAGTTGTTCTGTAATTTGTACCAATAACAGAATTTAAAACTATTTCTGAGATGACCTCAATGTTTAAGATACTCTCAGCTTGTGATGAACTATTAATGTACACTGGTACAAAGCTCATAAATTGAGGATTGTTGTCAGAAACATGTTAAAAATTTTAGCTGAAAGTTTTAACAATTAAAAATGTCCAACCAAAGAAATCTGTTAAGAAAACACTTAAGAAATATTATCTGTACTGCAGACAGGCCTATTAATTCAGTGCTTTACTGTTACTCTTAAGTAGGTAGAAGCAATATCTTTCTTTCCAGTGTGTGTATCTGGAACAATATTCTTGATCCCTTCAGCCTCAATTTTTTCTGTTGTTACAGTTACCCTAACGTCCACTAACACTGCAGGACCTAACACCTACCTTAGGAAAAGGGAATCAGTGAAGGGAAAGTACATGGAAGCAGACATGGTTATCCGGGAAGAAAATGTGATTAATATTAGAGCTTGAGTTCTCTTCCTGGCCGCTGCTCTTGCGTTAAGCTATTTCACATGACCAGCTCTGACTTGTGGTAGTTTCTAGTCTCAGTTCAGAGCAAACATGCTTCTGTCCCCAGCTGGTCAAAGATGGCACAGCCTTTAACATAAGATACAGATTTCTGAAATATTATTTCCTTCTTCCCTAGTGGTAATACAGAAACCTTAGTAAATATTAGGGGGGCAAGGTGGTAATTATGGATTAGAACAAAAAGCTGTTCTGATTTTGTGATGTCTCTTCTGTTTTGTCACACAGCTGCTCCTGGGTAAAACAGGAGCTGCAATGTACAGTTTTATCAAGAGATGCCATAAGAGGTCGTATAGTTTCATTCATTTGGCCTTACTTCTCTCATTTGTATGGTTATGGATCAAGAAAACATAGTCAAAGTAATCCAGATTAGATGAGGGTGTACTGTTGTAAATGGGACGGTGGCCATCTGTAACCACAAGTGGATTACAAAAATTACAGAGCTCGAGCGCAGCGTTACTGAATAAAAGGGGGTGTACCTGGAAATGAAATGAGCCGGTGCCTCTTGTCGGCGTTGCAGATCTCTTCAAGGAGGTGGCAGGCCCCACAGAAATGTGCGACCAGAGGCAGCTGGGCCTGCTGCTTCACGATGCTATCCAGATCCCGCGGCAGCTTGGGGAAGTGGCAGCCTTCGGTGGCAGCAACATTGAACCCAGCGTGCGCAGCTGCTTCCAACAGGTAAGATAACAGAGACCTTCATGTGAAAATACACCCTCTCTCTGAAGTCTTAAGATTCACTTTTACATGGTGTAAAAAGAAGAGAGGAATTGAAAAACATCATTGAGTTTTTGAACAGAAATTAATATGCTCCTGCGACTAAATATGGGAAGTTATTGTGAAAATGCAGCTGTAAAAGATGATTTATGGTTTAGGAGAGGATCAAAGAAATTACTTTTTAGCAAAAGGAATATAAATCTTTGTGGTTTTGACAATATTGGCTGCTCTAAAAGCTGTTAAAAAATTATGTACCAGCCAATTATCCTGCTTTGCACTGTTCACAGCATCCTGATACCATGAAAACAACGTGCTTTTCCCTGCTGGAGCAAGACGTGATCTCAACAGAGCAAGGGGATGATGTTGATAGTCATTTTTGACCTTGTGCATCAGGAAATTATTTAGCATTATTTTACTGACAAAAGAGCTTGCAGTAGCACGAAACTTCAAGCATAGTCATTTATATATTGTGAGCCTTTATGCAGCAGAACAGAACATGAAATAAAACTGTCTTACAGCCTGCTGTTCAGCTCCATGCTACATGCAGGGGGTTAATGAGGCTGCAAGGAGTGTCTGTTTAACGAAGATGAGAATTAAAAAGAGGATGTTGTAATGGAACACAACCTAACTCAGATTTTGTCAAGGATGCCTAAGGCTTCAACTGTTTGCTAGTGATAACTATGCTGCTTGAGTGTATTATTTCTGTTAAAGTGGTTGCTTTGAGCATTGTCAGAATATATATGGATTAAAAGATCACTATGGCATATATAAAACTACTGACTTTAATATTTCTGATTTTCTTGAATCCAGTATTAAATGTTATAGTGAACTTCTGAAGCATTTTTTCTTTTGCCATTCTTACATGGACATTTCTACATTTTCATCCAGTGCATTGAAAAATGCAGTTGTGCTACATTTTTTTCAGAACTATTAGGTTCATTGCTGGACTCTGAGATGACTGGAATTGAAAGAGAGTTTGTCCAGATCATGAATACTTTGTTAGATACTTAGGGAAGTTTGTTTGACCAATTAACCATGTAAAACTTCCCCTGAGGTTTCAACATTGCTGCTTCAGACAATAAGGGATGGTACTTGACACATCTATCGCTGGCCTCAAGTAGTTCAAGTCATACTGACATAAATTATTCATTTGTTAATGGCAGACTTTTTCTGTCACAGAGGAATGATCTTTATGGCCCTCAAGGATCTGCCCCATCTCCCATGCTGTTCAATTATGGGAGAGGGGTGCTAGCAAGGTAGGGTTTAAATACTTGATGTGATGATATGATTATACTGACATTGAGGTTGCATCCCTCATCTTTCATGAATAGCTCAAGTTCAGTCCCTGGTCTAAGGACCTTTCTAGAGAAAGTCTGCAGGTCCACGAC